GTACATAGAAATCAGTTTTCATGCACGTGGTCAGAAATTGGCAAATTAGGAGCTCAATGTGACGTCAAAGCTGCTATTCGAATTTACAACTTGTATTTCTACATGGCGCCTACGGTCTAGATCGTACCTCAATCCCTTTTTGATTTCCTGAAGCTTTTGTGTTATACCTTTTTAAAAGCATATGCGTTATAGTCCAGCTTCTGGTGCGTTCATGTCCTTTTCATACATAACAATTTGACCCGACTGTTTGATCATTTATGATTACATCAAATATAGATATGGATTCATATGAGCTGATTATAAATCTGTCGCTAAAATGGTAGTTATTATCTGAATTTACGAGGATGACTTCTAAATGACATCTGAGGTCATTGTGTAGGTCATATTAGAGGTGGCTGATATATTCCTGTTTCAACTCCTGTAAATTTTGTAGGAATATTTTGAAAAAAAATGCATGGTTGCCAAGTTCCCAGAGCGTTCGCGTACTTTGCACACGTTACAGCTTGACACTTACGATCGCCTGACAAAATTAAATCGTGCGACTTTAGGTCCAACCAAAATTATAATTTTTCTTCAACAACCAATCTCTAAATTAATTTTAGGATCAATTTAAAATTGCCGAATACTAGTTAGCAATGCCAAAGCGCCCCTCAAATTGACACACTTGTTTCTTATTTTCTCTCCCTCCTTCCTGCCATTTTTTTCTTCTTCCCTTCTTTCTCCCCGACTTTGTATGGTGTCTGGGTAACCAGACCTGACAGACTACTGACTTACAAGACCTTACCCAAGAGCAAAGGTTCTACGTACCGCACTGACAGACAATGATGGATAGGATCGTGGAAAATAGAGTAACATTCAGCTTAGATATAAAATGCTTGTGGTAATATATATACAGGGTGACTTTGAAGTTGAGTCATTAATTTTCAGATAATGATTGTAGAAGGAAGATAAACCAAAATATGTGTGTAAAAATAAAAAAAAATAAAAAAAAATGTTTACCTTGTTTTATAAAGTATCCTCCCGACAAGTATTTCAGTGCGGACCTGTATTTGATCGTGAGGTCCCCTGTGAGGTCTTAAGTCACCTGATTCACGAGCCCGTTGTACTACATTAACAAAGGCACGAGGGGTTGGTTGCACTCGATTGGGAAACCGATCCGCATAAACATGTGCCATTTTTTATTTCGTTTGAGCCACGCAACAGACACTATTCACACGCGACTGACACTGACTGTATGTATAACTGAACTGAATAACATAATTGTAAAAACATCGTTCCAAATTCCTTCGCTTTTTTGTTTCCGATGCGATGAACCGATAAGGCGGATTATATCCGTTGTTGCCAAACACGAGCACATGATATTATTGAGACAGGGCGGTACTCAAACTTCCAAAGGGCTATAACTTTGTTACTTTAATTTTACCAGAAAAATGGTAAAGGTAAAAAACATTTCTTTTGATCAGATCTACTCACTGTTAAAATAAATGACTCAATTTCGAAGTCACCCTGTATATATACTATATAGAATCAAATGCCTTTCTTAATCTTCTTCCAAAGACATCAGTTATATGTCGAAAACTTGTTATATTTAAACATCGCAATTATTATGCATAACAGTTTGGAATGCGAAGTGTAATACCTACTTCCTTTGTTTTTAATTCACAAAACCTTGGATCTTCCATTGTCTTAACACTCATTATTCTTCATTATATTGAGTCATCGATTTTTTCAGGTGACCACAAACATTCCGCTGATTGACAAACAAAGTATCACTCCCAATAAGGGAGAATATTTTGTAATCAACAATGCAAGTAGTCAACCAGTGATGACGTCATTCAAGCCGGTCATTAGCCAACCGAAGGGTCATAATGGCCAACCTGATCCCAATAAGAACTTTAGGATAACCAGATCCAACTCGAAAAGGTAAGAATATGTAATTTATAACTACAAAATACAGTTAGCTCATCTCCTGAAGCGGTGTCAAATTCTGTCTGGGTGGAAAATGGAATGGAAAATCTACAAGCCTGACTCGGCGTTGCATTTGGCCGGACATTTGGATTCCAAAACCAGACATTATGTTCTTTAATACCCAAACTCAAGGGCGGATCCAGCCTTTCAGTGAGGGGGGTCACTTGCGATGCTGTCTAGAGGGGGCGCAGTGGTGCTCATAAAATACACATCATATCGGCGATTGAAAAGTGGCGAGCTGGCACTGGGGCATCGGTTACATCAGTGCTTCTGCCAACGACTGTCCTTGTGATAATTGAAGAGCAGGAGGGACGGCGTTGGCCGGTCGATCTCGATTCCATATTCCCAGGACATAACTACAATAATGAAAAACTGTACAAACGTCGAGGCCATATCGTAGAAATTACCAGTTGATTAAATGACCGAGCATTTCAAGCAGTGGATAAAAAAATTTACCATATCGTTAAATCCTCAACGTTTAACGATTTAGACAACAACGACTGAACTAGAATAGTCAATAGAAATCCAAAATATGTTACGAACTCGTTTACTGCTCTTTAAGGTCCCTTTTTTGAGGTTTCTTTTCAACTTCCTGTTTGCAGTAATTCTTTAAATCAATTTCATCTTATAATTTCATGGTGTGTATAGAGATGACTAAAAAACAATGTTTTCATTTTTTTTTGTAAAAGAATGCATTTTTTGTGTATTTCTTTCTTCAGTCGGAACTTGTTAAAAAATGTATGTACAGCTCTGAAATTGTGTGTAAATATTCCTCTTTTATGGAAGAATGAAACGAGTGATTACTTTTGTTCTTATCTCTTTTCTTTTCCGAAAAATCTTTTTATTTTCTTGAAGCCTCGTCTCGTAGTAAGTTAGGCAAAGATTTTTCGAAAAAGAAGAGTGATAAGAACAAAAGTAATCACTCGTTTCATTCTTCCATAAAAGATGAATCTTCACACACAAGTCCAGATCTGTACTTATATTTGTTAACAAGTTCCGATTGAAGAAAAAATGCACAACTAAATGCACAAAAATTTATTTTTTACAAAAAAAAAATAAAACATTATTTTTTATTCTTCTCTATTCACACCATGAAATTATCAGATGAAAAGTATTGAGAATACTGCTGCAAACAGAAGGTTGGAAAAAATCTAAAAAAAAGGAACGTGCCACCTTAAGTACGACAACCATTTTGATGAAGAATTTAAAATGATGAATAAAATATCAGGAATTTCAAATCTAGCTATTACATTTCGTGGTTACCCTACTCTGCTTTATTTGACGTATAAACTGAAACTTACGATTAATTTTACGTACGTAGACAGACATTTTCGCTGGCACACGATTTTGATAAATGAATAATAATGTAATTTATGAGTGCAGTACTAACCTGTGAAACACGTTGGCACTGGTATTACCTATCTTGAGAAGTGACGTTATATCGATTTTTTTGACCTTATGCTGTTTTTTTTTGACATTATGTAGGTTTTTCGACAAGATGTCAACTTCGCACTAGCTGTTGGACACATTTGTAAACTCGTTTTGTAGTTGTACGTGTTGCCTAAATGTCATAATGCTTCAGTTATCAATGTTTGGCTATGATGTTATGTAAAATTTGCTTCAGAGATGGCATTACTGGAGGTAACGGCATAGTGAGGATTTGTGTAGTAATAATATGTTTTAATGATAATTCCATTGGATTCTTGTCTCGAATACACTTACTTGAGATTCAAAACTAGAAATTAGTTACGCATCCACTTTTTCTTATCCATTCTGGAAGTTACATATGCAAAGTTGCTGAATTTCAAAAATGAAAGAGATAAGAAATAATTACATTCGAATTACAAGTCATATACATGCTAACAGTAATTACACACAACGTGGTCGCGGTGAGGATTTCCCGTAATTCTGCTCAAAGTTTTTGAAAACACAAAAAAACTTAAAAAATCGTAATTGATAACTTTGAACATAACCTGTCTTCCGAAAGGACAACGTTTAAATAACCCGTCGGGTTCAGCTAATAGATATACTTCATTGGCAGCATATTCAGTAACGATTTTCCCACACAGAAGTGTCACTGATTTTATACATGCAGACCAATACACACAATCATCCAGATGCGATCTTGTTATTCAACCAAATAACCAACTTTCCTCTCAGAGACGAAGATGAAAACTATAGACCAGTCGGCTACACAAAACATATGCAACCAACAATGCGTGTATACGTGTGGTTGATCCATTCCTCCATAGATGGACGCTCACAACGATCCTAGTGAGCAAACGTAGAATGACTGCTTGTACCTTAAAGACTACCTAGTCTGCAAGATGACATCTTATAGCTGTTTTTGACGTTTTATAGGTTTTTTATATAATAGCCGTGCAACTCGGCCGCTTGACGTTTTGATAGTGACATGCATGGTACTCGTACTCGAGAAATCAGATACCTTTTTGTCGTGGTCTTTTAATCGCACTTCCTTCCTAATTTGGTAACGAGTCATTAGAATTGTATGCGCTGCCAGCGCTTCTCTCGGTAGTTAATAAAATATTTTACGATTTCACCAAACATATTTAACCATTTCAGGTAGTAGCCTTACGTTTAATGGATCATATCGTTAAACGATTGTCATTGATCTGACCAATGCACAACATGATTTAGCCAATAGATAATTATACATTTAATAAAATGAAATGACCAATTCACCAAAATCTCGTGAACTGGTCAATTCTACGGTATGGCAACGGCACAAAAATACCACAAAAAACTTACAAAAAGTGGGACAGGCCAGACAGATAAAAGTTTGACTGGACATGACCGAAAAAAGCCTAATATCTCCAGCGGAATCCAGACAGATGGCACTCCTATTCGGAGCATCCCGAAGATCACAGCAAAAAACTACGAACAGTAATTCACTCACCTGTTTATCCTAAGAAGCAAGCTTTTTGACACTGATTTCAATTTTGGCCATCAAAAATCTCAAACTTCTACTTAAGGTAGAAAAATTAAACGTTCGGAAGTTTCAAAAAAGGGATATTATATTTTTGGTTGTTGTATGACATCTACATCAAGAGGAATTATGTCACCTATTTCGGTCGGTTTGTCTGTCTGCCTGTTTATCCGCTAATCCTTGGATCATCTATAACTTGGAAAGTACCGCTGCGATTTTGAAGAAATTTTATCGTAGATAACGCTACTACCATGCCAATAATGAGAAAGCTTCGTTTGTTGAAAATTGGTCCAGTAGCGGTATTGCTAAAAGAAAAAATAAACAAGTATAAATCGCTCAAACTTCGTTTTTTGACATTTCAGAAGCTCGTGATCATTTTCAGAAAAAAAATACTAGGGGTTAAAAATTTGAAGCTGATGGTTGTAGGCGGAGTCGTTGTTGTACTGCTGTGGATCATCATCCACGCGAGATTAGTCATAGCAACATTGAGGATTTTTTCTCAGGGGGAGGGTCATTCATCGACAAGGTATCACTTTAAGTGAAAGCGTATATGCCTCCAAGACTTTTTAAAGAGGGGGTAGCATATTTTCTAAGGGGAGCCAAATCCTAAAAATTTGTACCCCATTCGCTCTCAGAAGCACTTCCATGCAGTCATCGAGTACGTGTCGCGGTGTCAAATTTGAGTTATAAAATGTTCTTTCGTGGTATCCCGTCAACCTTAGCGAAAAACTCTATCAACAGATAATTTACGCACCTGACTTGTTCGATAATACAGGTATGTAGGAGTTTTTCAAAAATTTCATTAATATGTCTCTGCACTTCAGTTTCCCGTTCAAAAATTCCCCATTTTTGTCTTCTGATGATACAAGCGAATGAAACTCGGTACACTGTACATGCTGAATATAATCATATAAAAATCTGTCATGTCTCCTCATTTGAGGTTTGAAAACAAGGCTTTTGGAGCACCCTGTCAACTGTAGCGAAAAACTGACATCAGATTCTTAACCATATACTCGTAGTTGACGACTGTAAGACATTTATAAATGTTCAGCAACATGAATCCAAACTTGAACCTATACGTACCCAGTTTACCCAGCAAACAAGTTTTGGTCGAGACTGTAGTTATTCATGGATTTTTAAAAAGCCTATAAATAACAAAATCCTTTCTCCACAGATCCCTCGAGAACTTCCAAGCCTTCATCGAAGTCAGCGAAAAAGTCAACCATCAAGTTACCAATAACAACAAACTCCCAGTTCTGCACCGATCCAACTCCTTCATGACCTTGGAAGACAGTCTACGCAGACGCAACTCTAGGAAGAATCAACGATCGGACCCGAAGTTGTCAGATCTCAATCACGGCCACCCGAGACCGAAAATCAAATCAGTGGAGTATCTGCCGGATTCCACCGGTAGCGCAGTATTCGTTGATTACTACGATAGATACGAGAGATGTAAGAAAAGTGTGGGCAGCGTGCCAGATTTGAAGAAAGTTTTTATATCGGAGTATATTTAGGTGCATTGTGATACATACTCATAGATAGATATATAGATGACTCGTTGACCGAGTATGAAGAATCTTGGGGCATATTGAAAAAACGGTGGACATGCAAGTCATCGTACATACTATACGGAAATCAACCATTTCGAACTTCAAGTATTACTGTAAATAAAATGAATAAATATTGTGTTCAATAAAAGTAAGTAATATCTGGAGTAACAGAGACGCGTTCAGTATTGGGACTGACTAAAGATCTAATAGAGGATGATAACATATTTATCAAAACTGTATGTACATCAACTGCTGTGTGGACAAAACTAATGTATTTAATTACATAGTGAATGACGAAGGTGAAGAAATATTTGTATTTTAAGAGATCGTTTTAGATACCTGTGACAAGCTCGAATAACTTCAGCCACAGTTTTGTTAGATCGTTCAATGTATAATATATGTATTTCCCCTTATTACGATGTATATAAACTATTGTAAATAAACAAAACAGTGTAACTCTCTATATGTCTGCTTTATTTTACTCTACATAGACTTTTAGGCCAAGATGAATAAATCTTGGACCGGTCTCCGAATTATGAGGCGTGTTTCTTATGAAGTAGGATTTAACTAAATGAAGCAACTTAGGCAAAAGAGAGAATATCTATTGTTTTTCGAAGTATTCGCCTTTAAACCCGATACATTTTTTCATTCGGACAAACCAATCTTTAAAGCTGTAATTCGACTCTGAAGTTGGCGTACTTACAATAGCCTCTGTATAAGCTTCTACCGCTCCCCTGGAGATAGTCCAGTCATATTAGCAAATTTAGCAGTAATATCTGTATTGGTGCAAGTTATTATTTCTGGGAAAACTTTCTATACGACCACAAAGAACGAGAAAACGAGTTTTTGGGATTCAATCGAAAGCGTTGGCAGGAACGAATAACTCTTCAGATAAGATTTTTAGGTATTTATGAGACCTACAAAATGAGACCAGACGCAAACGATCCGGCTAATAGCAAAGATGTTACAGCCAAAAGACGATGCAAAATGCAGGCTTTGGTAATGTGATGATAATTTCACGCAACTATTTGAAATTATTCAAATTCATAGGATTCATACTTCTAAATAGCAACATCAAAATTGGAGTATGTAGTGATCACTTTTGTTGGTTTCACGTCATCCTGAAATGCCCAAACTGCGTATTGAGAATTACTTTCGGCTTCATCGCTGTATATCCATGATTCGTCACCACTTTCAATATCATATACGTGATTAGAAGCCCCTCCGTTAAATCGCCGCAAAGTTTTACGGCACCAATCGACACGAGCCGCTTTTTGGACGTTAATGGAACGATGAGGTATTCAACGGAAAATTAGCTTTCTAACGCGCGGCTCTTGACCCACGATCTTTTGTATTGTAGTCCCTGAGATGCCAGAAGTTGTCTGAATCTCCCTATATGTAACATATCTGTCTTCCATGATTAACTTTCACACACCATCAATGTTTTCTGGAGTCATCGCTGTTTTTGGTGAGCATTCACCATAATGTTTCTCCAGACTAGTACGTCCGCGTTTAAACTCTGCATACCAGAGCTGGAGCTTCTTTTCCGAACACAGAATTAAGTTCAGCGGTACAAGCTTGTTGCCTTAATTTACTCTTGAAATTGTAAAAAATTATTGCACGATAATCTTCTTGCGTCAAATCCATTTTTAACCGAACTTGGAAACTTTCAACTCTCATTGGAATCGACTGAATTCTCGCATCAATTCGGATCAAACAACCTAACATCAAAAATATATGGTCTGTCAAATGATGCTTTAAGCAATTGACTAACAGGCTCACTTTGATCAAGTTCCTATACGACAACACGGCAGACCTTTTCTCCCTGCAGACATTCGTCAGAAAATTTCTGACAAAAGAGCTGCAATTAAGCAAGCGAAAAGGTCTTGTCATCCTGATGACATTCGCAGTTCGACGAATCTTGTTCATGAAGTAAGAAATGCTCTCCATGAATTCCACAATGAGCAGTGGAACGATTTTCTGGCGGGGATGCTTGACTCGAGTACTCCTCTCTGGATAGTGGCAAGTCGCTCAGAAACGGAAAGCAAGAACAATTCCCGTACATCCACGGTCCTGAGGGCATAGTCTTCAGGACAGAGGACAAGGTCGAGGTTTTCGCTGATGCTATGGAACGACAATTCTCTCCCAACTATGATCCTGATAATGATCTCGACGAAGAGCAACAAATTGTAAGATCCGTCAGGAGATATTTTAGGGCCAACGGCGTCAGTAATCCCGGCGCCGCCATTAGTGATTTTTCCTCAGAAGATTCTCTTTCGGAAGATTCTTCAGCTGAAGAGTTGTACAGCACATCAGCGGCTTCTGAGGTTTCAGTGAATGGAGCTCGTATACCATGGGGAAATTCTGCGGAGTATCTCGGTGTCACTCTTGACAGGGGTTGACCTGGCAGAATCACACTGAAGCGTTAAAAACCAAATTCCAAATTACGTTTCGCCAACTCAACCCTTTACAATGTAGAACCTCAAAATTAAGTTTGGTTAACAAAGCTCGGCTATACAAGATGGTTATCAGACCAGCAATCACTTACGCATGTGCAGCATGGTGTTTTATTGCTGAAACGCATATGCGTAATCTGCAGGTTTTGCAGAACAGAACCTTGCGAACCATCACTAAGGCACCATGGTATGTCTCCAACGAGACCCTTCACAGAGACCTCGACATCCCTTACCTAAGGGACTACATCAAACATCAGGCGCAGTTACGTTATAGTTAAGCGGCCTCGTACTACGACCGGTCACTGTACTTTTTACAATATTTTGTTTTGCTCTGGAAATAAGACCGATCATTCTTAAATGCTGTCTCGAGAGTAGAAAACTTGTCTATAGTACGGTTATTGGAATAAAAAGCTATTAGACTTCAGAGAACACTAAATAAATAATATATTAGACTTAAAATTATTTACATCAGTACAGTATACTTAAAATAGTTATTTACGTCAGTATTCTATCGTAACGCACTTTGTCTTGAGGTATTCGTTGAGAGCTTCTTGACCTGTGTGAAAAAAGTCAATATCGATAAATAAGAAAAACATTCTAAAATCACTTAAAATAAGCAATGTGTCACAACACACGTTTATCCAGTAAATATGGAGAAATAAAAATTCTTACAATTCCAAAGTTATCAAAACTACTTAACTCATGTCAATTTCCAATAAAATAAAAAATAACTATTGATTTTGCCATTTTTTTTACTATGACAAAAGTATCTTACCGAGGTCTTTTCCAAAGCCAGACTGTTTAAATCCACCAAATGGTGCAGCAACGTCCGTTTTATTGTAAGTGTTTACAAAAACGGTTCCAGCTTCTACTTTTTCAGCAAATTTCATCGCCTTAGATATATCTTTGGTGAAAACTCCCGATGCTAGACCATACTCCGTTGCATTTGCTCGTTTGAGGACTCCATCTATATCTCTACGAAGAAAGAAAGTTTTAAGTTCATACAACGGAAAGTGGTAGCTTCTTATTTCTCACAATACTTTAATTATCTCTTATACATCATTTACTAGTACATGAAATTTGAGTTTATACCAACATGCTCAATTTTTCACCTTTACAAAAATATTTTCTGAAACTGAACAGATGCCTCTGGAAAATATTCTTATGCTATTTTTTTTTTTTTTGATGACAGCTCCAGCGCTAGGCCTAAATTTGGCTCTTATACTTACCCATTATTAAACCTGCTAATGATCATTATAGGTCCGAATGATTCTTCTTTAGCTATATACATGTGATCTTCCACATTGCTAAATATAGTTGGTTGCAAAAAATATCCAGGCCTATTCAGTCTTTTTCCACCATATTCTAATTTGGCACCTTCTTTCACACCTATGTCAACGTACTCCAACAATTTTTTTAAATGTGCAAGATGATTTTGTGGTCCATGAGCTGTAGATCGATTCAGGGGGTCCCCAATTTGTATCTTTTTCGTTTCCTGTACAACTCTCCTGACGAACTCATCATGAATGCTATCTTCAACAAAAATACGACCGGCTGCTATGCAGTTTTCACCTTTGTTGAAGAACACGCTTTGCATGCCCTAAAAAAATAGGTCATTATATGACGTGCTAGTATGTTGTATAAATGACAAAATACAAAGTCGATATGACGTGTGTATGACGTCGATATGGCGTCTATCTGAGGTCTATATGAGGTACAGTCACTCGCAAAAATAGTCGCGCGGTATATCCAAATGCTCCTGAAAAATTGAGCATGTGACAACAACGCCCCACAAGCAGTAAGTTCAGGGATATTCTACTTACTTACCGCTCTTGTCACCATTTCGTTCCGAGACGTAGTTATCGCCTCCGCAATTTTCCAGGAGCATTTGTACAATGTGTATCAAAGTGGTTAATAAAAAACTAAAAAACACTGATTGATCTCAAACTCCGATAGTTCAGAATTTGATTGTAGCAATTTATCAAAATCGCTTTGCTTTTAAACATGAGCCGAAAACACTTCTTGTTTCCCGGATGTCATCCAAGCCTTATTGACTCTGTGGCAATACAATAGTCCTTACTAAATTGTACCACAATGTACGTTAAACATGACGAAGCCATCGTGATGTCTGTCAGACCCGTAGATTTATAAAGCAAAATGGCCGAAGCATTGCCATACGGCGAACACGCATGGAGCTTAGACATCGGTCGAGCATAATCGAGCTTCTTCGCTGATGATCGGCTGAATTATATACCGTTACAAATAATATTCTAGTACTATAGGAGTTTCTAATAAATTTGTTATTTACGTCAATAAAACATGATGTAAGATACCAATTTGAAATGTCTGAACATGGAATATTATTATTAGAAGAGTCATATTAACAGGATATTTTTGGTCGCAGAATTCCTGATACTTTTTATAAATAACAATAAAGTAGTTATTAGTATTTGGATAACTATAAAGTCAAAATGGCAGCCTACCAAAAGTGACCCAATAATGACGTCATCTTGGTGTCATCATGTTCAGGGGATATTTCAGCTTGTACCGGGTGCGTCATCTTTTATGTCGGTATTGAAATATCGAATAACTTTGATATTTACCAACCAAGCGATTTAGTTATACGTGTTTCTGAAACGTCAATTTACTACAATTTTAGTCATGAATCGCTTTACACCGAAACAACGCACCGAAATATTCACAATGTACTTTGAAAATCGTCGATCAGTTGTGTTAACGCAACGTGCATATCGTTGAAAATATCGTGGCAAACTGACAACACTATCCGTCGTTTGGTTTCGAATTTTCTTGAGTACGGGACAACTACCAAAAGAGTGTCGTATCGTCACCGCGCTCAGCATTTTGGCATCAGTGGAACGACGTTGCGGCGCATTCTGAAGGATGATTTGCATTTGTTTCCTTATAAGGTTTAGTTAACACAAAAACTATTGCCAACTGATCTTCCACGTCGCTTGGAATACGCCCAAACAGTCGCTCTCATGGTTGATACTGACTCTCATTTTTGGAAGCAAATTGTGATGACCGACGAGGCCCATTTCACGCTCTCTGGCGGCGTTAATTAGCAAAACTGCCTATTTTGGGACGGAAAATCCACATGAGATCCAAGAAATGCCGTTGCATGACCGTAAAGTGACTGTTTGGGCCCGTGTTTGCGGCAAAATCATCATTGGGCCACTTTTCTTCAACGAAAACGAAACAGTCGATGGAAATCGATATCGGCGGATGTTGGCTCATTATGTTTACCCACAAATGCGTGAAAACGGTCTTGACGGGTACTGGTATCAACATGATGATGCGCCATGCCACACTGCAAATGAAACAATTCAGTTTGTGCAACGAAAATTCCCTGGACGTCTGATGTCAAAAAGAGGTGACACTGACTGGCCACCGAGGTGTCCAGATTTGACCCCACCGGACTTCTTCTTGTGGGATAATTTGGAAAGTCAAGTATACGCCAGCAAGCCCCAGACCACTGAAAAACTCAAGGCAAACATTCGTACCGCAATCGCCGCTATACCACCAGAGATGCTTGAAAAAGTAGTGGAAAACGCAGCAAATCGGGCACATCTTGTTTTGGCCAATAAAGGTGGCCACTTGATAGATGTTGTGTTCAAAAACTAGTCCCAATAAATTGTAAAGGACCATATTTAATAAAAATACCCGACATATAGAAATCAGTTTTTCGTTTTCAAAGTTATTTCATGTTTACATACCGACATAAAAGATGGCGTACCCTGTATACTAGCAAGAATCGCTTAGCTTTAGATCTATGTATAATACGAATGCTAAAGTGTTTTATCTGGAATATTTTTAATATTCTTACCATTCGTACAGCCTTATCCATATCACAGTCAGAGAATATAACTAATGGAGATTTTCCTCCTAATTCTAATGAGACTTTCTTCAAATTAGCTTCGGCACAACTTTTCATGATGACTTTTCCTATTTCTGTACTTCCTGTAAATCCCAGTTTTCTGACATCTGGGTGATCTGCTAGTGCCTGACCCGCAACAGACCCTGAAATATAGCAGTTATTTTATTAGTCAAAAGTGTACAATCATTTTTTAATACACACGTATTTTACACTGAGAAGTTAGGTAGTTTCTCTAAATCAACACGCTCAAAGTGATTTGACATAACGTCTCATCAACTCGAGCTCATTCAATGTCTAACAAATGATTATGTATTACATAGGATCATAAAAGTTTCACAAATACAAATGAAAATGTATTCTGCCATATTTCGTCGTTTATTTTAAGCATATAAGACTGATACATAGACATTTTAGTGTAGTTATCCAAATTATCTGAAAACTATCTGTTACAGTTAAAATAAGGTCGACATATTTGTACAATTCATGCTACGGCTTAGAGAGATTATATAAAATCTGACGATTCTCTGAATGACAGTTGAAACTCGGCATATTTCATCACAGAGAGAAAACGCGGTCAACTAAACAATTGGTCTGAGAAAATTTTAATTACTCATAATACTTCTTTTTAATTATTCTAAGTAACTAAATTATCTGATTTCATTCATCTGAATTTTCTGGAACCAGTTTAATCGAAAGTAACATGCTAAACTGTTTAGTTTAGGTAACTTAGTTTATATAGAAGGCGTACACTTAAAACAATTAATCGTTTTAACAAAAACTATTAAACTGTTTAGTTGAATCACGGACTCGGCAGGGCTCGGTCCTTCATTCGTGAATGATCGGAAGTATACGACAGGCGCAGTGCCGATGCCGCGCTTCGAACTCCTCAGTTTGATTTATGACTTTCGCGAGGAGCTCCGTATTCGAATGTTACCGTTGTGGGTGTAGTAGCTGTGAAGTGGATCAATTATGGTGACCAAGTGAAATATTCGAGTTTAAGGCGCTCATAATCATAAATATTTCTCGCTCCTAGGGAAACACTCTGTATAGGCGAGTCACTGCTGACGTGACGGTATGGGAAGAAGTTTTATTTATGCAGCAACATTTAGGTCAATCAATAGCATTTATACTAAACATGTGCTTAACAGAGGCTTGATGTGATTTTCTTTTATATTGAAATTTTATTTATGCAGCCGTATACACAAACAGTTGTTTCTAGCGAACGCTGATATATTGTAACCTGTTTCAGGACAATCAGACAAATATTTGGTAAGACTTGATCATAATTATATATATATAATAAGTTCACAATCAATGAAAGTAGAAAATATCGAATTTTGTTTGGGTTATAAAATTCGGAAGTTTTTATTTTGATTTGAAAACATCAACTATCAATATCAAGCATTCAAAATTTTCTGATACCTAAGTTTTGTCAAAGCACAGTTAAAATATACATCATACAGTAAAATGCAATTTGTTCTTTTAAAATAAGTTTTATCGAATTATCTTTTTAAATATAAATAAAATAATTCATGAAGATTAGGCAAATTCGATTACCTAAACTAATTAAATAAATTTAATAAATATAATTAAATTGTTTTACTTACTTACTTTTAAATAAGACGGTGTATTCAACCGTTGTGGTTTAATTAAACTTGTTTCATATATTTAGGTTAACTGTTTTAGAAATCAGAGTTTCAATAAATTAATTAAAGTTTTTACCACAAAGAACCGCGGTACTTGTAGTAAGTAAATAATTTGACAGGCCAGCTCAAGCTAGAGTGCTTACGGAAATATAGTTAATTTACTTGGTAGTTGTTAATATTAATTGCAGACAAACTACTTTGCTTATGGCAAGTGGCCAGTACAGTAATCCCATTTAGGTAGACGTGCAGAGTTTACTTGGCAAAATCAGAGTTTCAACTGTGGTTTATTACTTTTTTCTCGGTGTGATATTCCATAGCAATATTTGACAACTCACCTGTGCCACACACTACGTTGATAACTCCAGGAGGTATTCCAGCCCTAAAAGAAAGCTCAGCAAATTTAAGAGCCGTTAAAGGGCAAACTTGTGCTGGTTTTATCACTACAGTGTTTCCAGCTGCTAAGCATGCTGCCATTTTCCAGGATAACATCATTAGCGGATAGTTCCATGGCGTTACTAAACCACAAACACTGTAAGAAACAATAAACTTATTCTTGTAATTCAAATCAAATCAAAATTGAGTATGCATGTAGAATTAATAATAAACCGTCTTTTATTAGAAAAAACAAATTACAGATAATGCATATATTATTATCTATAATTAGATTAGCGAGCAGCTTAATGGCGAAGTTTAGCTATAGCAGCTATTCTTACACTTAACCATTAACTGCATAAGAATAATAGATTGTAAAAAAGCACAGCTGTAAAGAAAATAAAAGGAGGAAAATGCCCATGTAACTGATTACAACCTAAATAAAAATTAGCTTAAAAATATAATGCTGGAGAAAAACACCTTTAAGAATCACCATTGAGCAGAAGAGCTCTTAAGTGTTTTTTAAAACTATACAGAGGCAGGCTTTTTGTTCTGTAATCTAAGCTATTGTACAACATGCATGCATTATATGACAAGGGCCTGTTAAAAACAGATGAACTATGAAGTGGCATTGTTAAAGCGAATGTGTTACGGATATGTCGTTGATGAACATTATACCTAAAAATTAGTTTTTCACGTAAATAAATTGGAGTTCCAGAGACAAGTAACTTATGTATAAAGGTTAGATAGGTGTAATTAACTAAATCTGTATTCTTTAACCAACCTATTAAAGGATAACGATCCGAAACATGATCAAATTTTCCTAAACTAAATATGAATCGTACGCAATTATTTTGTACTACAGATATTATGTTACGACTTGCAATATCCAAACAAGGATGCAATAATTAAAAATAGATAACACAAATGATTCACACAACTTAAAATTGAGCCCTGAGGCACACCCGAAGTGATAAAGTGCTCATTTGACAAAACTCCAGAAAGTGAGACGCGCTGAGAACGGTGGGTTAGGTATGATTTAAAAAACTGCAGTGCTATTTTATCAAAACCATAAAATTTTAGCTTAGCACACATCAGTTCGTGATCAATTCTATCAAGGGCCTTGGAGAAATCCAGTGAAACTAAGGCGACACACATTTTTTATCAAGGGCCCTGATGATGTTGTCCACTAAATTAAGAAGAGCAGTTGTAGTACTGTATGATTTTCTAAACCCAGACTGGGAGTATTTCACTTGACTCTAAAAAATCTAAGATTTGCAAATAAATGATTTTCTCCAAGATCTTTGACAAAACACTCAAAAGACTGATGGGCCTAAGATCCGAGAAATCGGTGTGCTTCCTGACCTTAGGTATTGGCCTTACTATTGCTCGTCTCCCAGATTTAGGAAAGTAGCCCTTCTCAAGACACAGATTGATAATATGGGTCAAGTAAGGTAGTATAATAGGGAGAGATAGCTTAAACATAAAAAGAGATATACCGTCAATACCCTTTGCATTTGACTTACGGCCACTCACAACAGTTTTGATAGTAGTAGGCTCGACCAGAGTGAAGGAAAATCTCCGATTGCCAAACGTGTTATTGTGATAAAAATTGAATGTTGCTTCGTCGGGCTGAGCACAATGAAACACTGATGCAAAATAATCGTTTATAGCGCTTGGATCATTGAGGTGAGACGGAATACTTTCAGTTCTTGTCTTTGAATTAAAGCCACCGGTATTTATGTTACCTAAAGCTCTCCAAAGATCTTTCGACATATGATGCTCTTGCAAGAAAGATAGGTAACCCGCTTTTTCACGCCTAATTGCCGCAAGAGCAAAATAACGTTTTTCTTTGTAGCTTAACCAGCTCGACACTGTTTTATCGGATTTATATTTTGTAAGTGCAACATCACGTTCTTTCAGAATAATTTTTAACGGAAAGCTCAACCAAGGGGCCTGACGTTTATTGACTCTCACCGTTGTGAGCGGCGCGTGGATATCAAAAACGTTAAGAATGTTCCTTGTAAGGAAATCAACTTTTTCATCGATGTCATTCAATAATATCAGGTCATGCCCAACAATTGAGCTTAAATCACTACAAAATCCGTTTTCATCAAAGTTTTTAAAATCTCAAAAAGAGATGAAAGTTTGCTTAGTTTTTTTGACAGCAATTTCCAGCGAGCAACATACAAGTCGGTGATCGGAATACGGTAATAAAGGATGGTGTCCCAATAGGTAAATATTTCGGAATTTCGTTTTTAACATAACCAACAATTTTGGATAAATAATAGGTTGTACATATTATCAGAAGCTACGTGTATGGGAGTTATGTTTCATAAATGTTTTCCAAATGCCGGCTCATCTGTTTTTACAGATAACCATTCTTGGACTAAGCTTTCAAAAATTACACATCAGTAACATGAGGAGTGTTTCGCTTCAGGTGATCAATCTCCAAAAAAACGGGATTCGATTGCATGATCTCACAATCCGACGGACATCATCATTGGAAGAAATCATGACACTATCAGGAAAATGTGTGCAGAATTTTGATGCTCTGCAGTGCCGTAGAAAGCCATTTTCTTTTTTCCTATGTAGTAGTCTTAATTTCCATGGTGAAGTTTCGGGCACGAAGATTTTTGTATGTATCGTATTATCATTATCAGTACTATTTACATGTACAAAATTTCAAGTCAAATTCTTAATCCACTCTGGATATACGTAGTCATGCCATAAGTTCTGTCCCTCGTTTTCAAACAAGTGTAGACCTGTTAATACTTGTCCGATTGTTTACATTGTGGTGTCAGTTGATTAAGCGCTTTTCGGGTAATTACATATACCTCAGTTTGTATTGATCTCTCGAAGCATAACGATGGAGTGGGGCAAGGCAGAGAACCGTATTGCAGTGATAGCTTTACATAAGTGTAATCACAGTGCTAGTCAGATTTTTGAACTCTTACGCGGCCTTCAAATATCGCGTAAATTTGTGTCTAGGACCATTCAGCGGTACAATGAGACGTCCTCTGTTGATGACAGGCCAAGAAGCGGAAGACCTCGTCAAGTAAGGACTCCAGCAGCCATCAAAGCCGTAAAAGCCAGGATTCAAAGGAATCCACTCCGGAAGCAGAAGATCCTATCCAGGGAAATGAAGATTCCTGTCCGGACGATGTCGCGCATCATTAAACAAGACCTAGGGCTAGGGGCTTACCGGAGACGTACGGGCCAGCGACTTACGGCCACCTTGCGACACATCAGGGCGACAAGATCCAAGAAGCTCTTGGAGAGGTACGCAGCTGGGGGATTCCGAAAGATTTTGTTCACGGATGAGAAAATCTTCACCATAGAAGAAAAATTCAACCGACAAAATGACAAAGTGTATGCAAGGAGTTCACAGGAAGCTTCGGAGATCATTCCGAGAGTTGAGAGAGGCCACCACCCTGCGTCAGTCATGGTTTGGTGGGGGGTGTCCTACGAAGGGGTCACTCAGCTCCATTTCTGTAAACAGGGCGTGAAAACAAAAGCGGCAAACTATCAGAGCGACATACTGGATCCTATCGTCAAGCCTTTAAGTGGTACATTGTTTGCCAACCAACACTGGGTCTACCAGCAAGATTCCGCCCCCGCTCACAAGGCTAAGAGTACGCAGCGCTGGCTGGAAAGCAATGTGCCAGAGTTCATTGCTGCGGAAGATTGGCCCTCAGGGAGTCCGGACCTCAATCCTTTAGACTACAAGTTGTGGGACCTGCTAGAGCAGTTGGCCTGCTCCAAAGCCCACCGTAATATCGAGTCCCTGAAAGCGGATTTGATCCGATCAGCGGCAGCTATTCCTTTGGAAGCTGTGCGTGCAGTGATAGATGAGTGGCCCGCGAGATTGAAGCAGTGTGTGAAGGCCAAGGGGGGACATTTTGAATAAAACTGTTTGATTATGAATTCTAAAAATGTTGTCGAATAAATAATATCTTTCATATAAATATATCTTATCTTGTTTCATTTTTATCATGAGATTATCATGGGACAGAACTTATGGCACGACTACGTATATATTTTTTCGTTTTCAAAATTATGATTTCAATACCCTGTATCTGAATAAGAGGGCATTTTAGGACCCTTTCTTATATAAGCTTATCGTGGTATTTTCTAGTATACTTTAAGCCCTATAAATATTAGCCTTTGTTCTGAAGCACCCTGTATAATTATGACTCATATCACAATTATGGCAGACACATAAGAAGTGGGGGCATTAGCCAACCTGATATTAACAAGCAACTATACGGTATAACTTCAATACAGATTAGTGTCGATGATGTCCTACACAGCAGAATGTGTGTGTGATGACTGTGATGCAACTCTAACTACTCGTATAGCTACAAATCTTAAAAAGCAATGCTTGAGATGTGATAATCAGCTTGGAAATGCTTTATTTAATGATCAAGCAATTGTTTGTGACTCGATTGCGGTACAAGTGAGGTTGAAGGAAGAATATAGGAATGAGGGACAAGAAATTGGAACAAAAATTGAGACTATTTGATTAAATATAGAGAAATATGGTGGCAATGAAGCCGAAATCGAGCTAATCATTGCTACTGGTACTAGTGAAATGAAGGTTCGAGATACCGAAGTACTTATTGTGACACCATTTACTACAATCTCAATTCAAACTAAGCATTTATTTTGTGTCTTACCCAATGGGTTCTTTCTTCGTGAACGACAGATTTCTGTTTGGTCTGGCATGTGAAACGGGTATTGTACTGCCTTGAATTTTGTCTGTCCAGCCAGCAAAATATCTCCATGTTTCTATACTCATGCCAACATGCGTTTTTAGTGCTAACGTATATACGGCCCCCGAATCTAATGATTCCAGGGTAGCTAGTTCTTCTTTATGTTGTTGCATCAGATCTGCCAACCTAAAAAATTTCATATATATTCACAATAATTAATGGAAATATTATGATGGTTGTTAACATCTTCATTGCAATCATGTCATGTAACAAAATAAGAAACAGTAACATAACGTATCTCACGCCACTATTTCCGGGTTGGGTTTTTTAGTTTAGTACTTGACATTAAAGCTTACAATGTAAAATGATGCTACATACTTATATAAATACTGTCCTCTTTCTCTTGCGCTGATTTTACTCCATTCTCCACTCTCGAAAGCTCTTTTGGCAGCAGCTACTGCTTTATCTACGTCACTTTTTGATGCACATTGTACCTAGAAAATTAAGATTAGACATTTTTTCAACTTTCCTAACGTAGTTCCAACAGAGATTTAAGTAAAAACAACTTCTGCTTATAATTTTTTTACAACAGCACACACGTAGCGGAATCAGTGATGAAAAAATAAGACAATTACATTATTTTACTCACATCACATATTACTTCTTCTGTCGCTGGATTCACAGTTTTCAAAGACTTTCCATTTTCAGCATCCACAAATTTTCCATCAATGAACAACTGACATGGGAATTTGAGTTTCATCTTGTTTGCCTCTACTTCTACAGCTCTGTACTCAATTTCCACTGGAGCGTTAGCACCACGTGCCTTCAATACTACATTTGTACAAAATTCTTCAAAAGTCGGAGCCATGAAGACGTCTCCATTTTCCAACTCGGTTTTGAATAGGTCTTTTACTTCTTCGACCAGCCTGTAAAAATCATGAACAATTTGAGAGACCCCAACTCCAGGGGTTCAATAGTTGCTAGTGACTTCACAAATATTTTTTTAAAAATTACACTCACCTTACAACATCCATGGATGCAGCACCACACGCAAAGAAATCAGTATCATTTTCGATATCAACACTTAAAATTGCTTCCCAGATATCTCTAACTGATTCTATCATTGACTTTTCTTCAGGTGTGTACTCTATTTGAACTTGTTGCGTTATTTGGTCAAGAGTTGCAGCATTTTTCATTCTTCCTAAAAGTAAGGAGTGAAACAAAATGAGCATACCTTGCAGACTTTAAAAGTTCAATCTCCATTTTTTTAGTGTATAGGTAGCCCTCGAAATTATCAGCACTGCCGCTTTAGAGCGTTAAATCAGCAAAAACGCTCGCTAATATTAAATGAGCGATCAAGCGATACGCTCAAACATCAAAGAAGCAATCTTAATACACAACTGGCTATTCCTTACCGTTGAATTTAACTTTTTTGACGTTGACGTATTTTCCATCAGACCCGGTTAGCAATAACCCATCATCATGGATAATGCCCAGTGGAGCGTCCCGGATCTCGACGGGTTTTCCTCCAGGTTTTGCAGTTTTCCACAATGAAGAACCGAATAACAAAACCTCCTGGAAGCCGGCTTCTGTCTGACCTGGGATAAGCATCTCACAGAGAGCACCAGGTACAGAATCCATTCCTCGAATGAAGTTGTGCAATTCAACTGCCGATTTTGACCAATCAATCTAAAAATGAAATCATTACGATAATTAGAAGTAGGCTAAATAGCTAAGACAATATTAACACAATCGTCGTACAAAACGGCATAAGGAAAGAGTAAGAAACATTTAGATTTTATACCAAATGACTAAATTTTTTATATGTTTACCATTAGTTAAACAACTTTCTGACTTTATAACATCAAACAACAGATTCTGTGTTTATATGGACCCAAAAACACCGCCATTTTGACCTTTTTTTTTGTTTTGCGATTAAACATGTGTGACAAATTTTGTGTAGGAGTTTTCTAACTTGTATATTTCAGATTCAATTATTTTTAACCTGCATTTAAAGCTTTAGTAGTCGTTTTTTATTATATGCAGAGATATACATAAATATTAATTTTGTGATGGGTCACAAAATATACGGAAGGAAACCTTAACAGAAAAATAAGTCTGGCGATTTTCTTAATGAGATACACGTTCATGTATCATCAACTTTCCTCAAATAAGTTACCTCAAGTCACGCCGTATCAAAAATACTGAAAAATACATGAACATGTTTCCGCTGCAATATTAAAATTTAACATACTTTATTCGAAAAAGTACTCCTATGCTGTTTTCAAGCTCTTTAAGGGGAAAAAGCATACGCATGAGTTTCAGATTTAACATTAACCAAATTTTGGTAGTGATCTCTAGATGTTGTAGCTCAGGTGTTGTGGGTTCTGCAGTAAGCCCATTGTAGAGGATATACAAATACAGTTTTGCTTTAAACTAACAGAAAGATAACTTATCCGATGAATTTTAAATTTTTTATTTGATTTTCGGTCCATACCTACCTTTTGCAACTCTTTCTTATTAAGCATCGGATCATAAGTAGCCCCTTTTTCGCTCTGTGGTCTCTTGGGGGCACTGCCGTCTGCTACCATGTCAACAGCACGTGCGACTGCAGAGACACCTACAGGGTACAGAAACCTCCTGTAAAGGGTGTCTACGGTGTCATCTTCAAGAACGTCACACTCTTCTTGGAGAAGTATTGGACCTGTGTCCAGCCCATCATCAGCCCAGAAGATGGTTAGACCGGCCTTTTTGTCTCCACAGATCAAGGTCCTGTTGAGCAAATGATTTTCTTGTAGATAAAGCACGGACCGGGGACGGACGTTAGTTAAGTCAATCACGAATTTCTGCTGATTTGTTAGTAATTTTTCTAATTGAACCTCATGAATCCAGTTTTTTGAACAATTCAGCAACAATCTCGTTGACTTAGTAAGTAATGAAACGCCTCTTAATTGTTTATTGTTGCTATTTTCTAAATTCTGTTTTTAGCTCCTGCTGATGATGGCATAGACTATCGAAAGCTCGAGTTTTAAATTTAAAAGAGTATGAGTTTTATCCCACATGAAGCTACGTTCTCACGGGTGATCCTGGCATTCGTAAAATTGCTTCCGTCTGAGCAAGGTGTTGTAAGTTTACCTCTGACGCCATCGAGAGAGAGTAAGGTGCACAACCGCTCACTTTATCAAACACGTTTTACTTTCACGAGTTAACACGCCATTCGAGAGGCAGGAAAATGTTCATATCCGACTTTGAAATTTGTGTTCAAACGCGTTCCATGAAAATCAAACTGCTCTTTGGACATTGCTAACATAATTTTAAAATATTCAGGGTATTCATTTCCTAGTTCCAAATCCCCTTACATTTCTTCTTGCAAGTATCTTCACCAAACAAAGCTTTTCTTACATTGTTTTATCTATCCACGTAGCTCTCTTAACCTTTTCACTAACATACCGTCCCTGAGATCTGAACTCAAACCTGCACTTCTTCCAACCAGAAGCTCATCCATGGTCGGCTTTAAGGAATAAACTGAATCATGATCGCGTGAACCGTTCACGACCCTCGACTGATTCACTTTCCACACGACAGACAGACAGAGAAATCGAAGCCATGCCACGCTGTCGACTTTTGCTTCGTGAGAACGCAGCTAAAGATCGCCTATAGTCTAGGAACCTGCTTGTAGCCAAGCCCAAAATTGCAAGTAAAATTATTTAAACGATTTTTCAAACAAAATTAAAATTCCAAATATTGTTTTTTTTACTCCGGACAAGGTTATTAAGGCCCGTATCGTCAGTCGTCCCTACAATTGTAGGGCGCGTTTATGGCCTCCTTGATTGTCATACTCTTTTCTCTCCTTCAGAAATTTCTAGATTACACTCATCCCGTGTCAGCGTCAGCGCTCTCCTATTGTTAAGATATGTTTTCCTTTTAAATTGTAGGAAACTTCAGGCTGATAAAACATGTTAAAACTCAAAAGCAAGCACAATTTGATGCAAATAGATGTTTGTGACATAACCTCAAAATAGAGTTCTGACACGGAGAAGTAGAAAACTATGACAATCAAGGAGGCCATAAACGCGCCCTACAATTATAGGGACGACTGACGATACGGGCCTTAGAGCTTTTTGTGTCATTATGAACAAAAAAGCTTTCCATTAACTTTTCTCTGAAATTAGTAAGTAGCTTTCGAGATATAATTAATTTAATATTTGAAAAAGTACGAAATAAGTCATTTTCGACCCAGTAAAACAACGAAGATTTCAACGTTGTCAAAGTTATTAAATATACTTCAAACATCCAATAACAAAACTCCAAAGGTTCGTGTGGGGTATTACTATTGTAAATGTTTGTTTTTTAAATTGTTGAGAAGCAGCATAGGTGCGGCCTCCAACCGCTCTTGTATAATATATGTACATTACGCGCGTGGTTGATCAACAATTAATAAACGAAGGTTTACAACAATTCCCCCTAAAATGCTTTTGCATTCTGATAATGAATGTTTGAAAAATATTTAGGAATATTGGAAACATTAAAATTTTCTTTTTTTATATTGCTTTTACAGGTTAAGAATGGCAGGTTTCGCACCTTTTCAAATATTAAATCGCTTATATCTCGAAAACCATGAACATCAGTGACAGTTTCATAAGAACCTCCTATGTTCAAAAAAAATAAAAAAAACGTACGGAGCGGAAATAAAAAGAATTTTTAGAGCTTGTTTAAAAAAACTGTTTAAGGAATTTTTGACGCTAATGTGGGGCTGGCGACGAGATGCACCGTCCACTTCTAGAACTCATAAAGTTTCAGGTAAACTCAAGACACTTTGATCAAAATCATCGGTACCTCTATGAATTGACAAACCACTGAACTGTCTTAAATTTTGCTCATTTGAAATTCTCGGAGCACTTGTTCAGTTTCATGCTTACCAATTTATCGAGCTAGCTCCTCTATGTCTGGGTAGCATCGAAGGGTGGTAGCAGATTGTTTTCAACCTGGGGTAGTTGATGACCTCCATAGGAATGAATTGTGAACAATAGGGAAGCACATTGAGGTCTGCATTGACGCTTTTGTACATGTCGAGAATTTCGGGAAGGGGTTTTCCGGCCTTCCTCCATGCTTTGATTTTAAATACTGGGATGTCATCCTCTTCAGCTGCCTTGGCTGAAAAGATCAGATAAATATAGGTAAAAATAGGGATCTTATGAACCATAGCCTAATTCTGTAACCTTACAGTCCATGTCACTGAAAGTTTTCCTCGGAAGTTTTCAATATCAGCTCCGGCTTTGATAAATATTGTTTCAAGATTTTTGTTTTTCAATTGTTTAAAATCAGAAATATTTCAGAGGAGAAGTAATTATTTATATTGTTTGGGTAAGTTTTAGGTAATTTACGGGTTTAGTTAGCAGGTCTTAATTCAGAAAAATACATAAACTTATTATGACCGAATTTAAAGTATTTACTTTCATCTGCACACATTAAAAAATACTTTTTTGCACCTTTAGGTGGGTATATCTCAGAAACAAGAGCCAATTATATCCAAATATCTCAATATCTGAAGTGATACCAATTTTCAGAGAAGGACCTTATGCCTTATTTTCAACGATCTATTGACTAGTCATCTAGAGTCAAACGAACTTTTAAATACTTGTCAGTTTGGTTTGAGGAAAGGTACGTCAACGATAACAGCAATAATAAGTTTCACCGAAATAGTTATCGAGAGTTTTGAGAACAAATTTTACATGAAGGCTGATTTCTTCAATCAAACTAAAGCCTTTCTATTCCTTGACTCCTCTCAGGGTCTGTAAGACAGCAATTTGTAGAATACAAAAATTGCCGATCTTCTGTCCCCACACTTTTGCATGGGGCTCCTGAAGTATCTGTACTTGGACCATTGTTATTCTTGTTTTACATCAATTACATAAAAAATTGCTTCAATAACAGTGCTAGTCCTTTCAGCTCAAATCACTTAGAGAACCTAGAAAATGAATTATCAGGATGCAGAGGACACATTCAAAACTATTTTGTTGTTAACGGGATATTTTCTTTTATCTTTGGTTCACAGCGATTTCTGTTTATACATATATGTAAAATAACTTCCTTATAAACTTAATCAAGCTCCTGATAGCAAAAGCCTTGACATTTGCCAATAAAACAAACGATTGTTCACACAAACAAGGAATGTACGTTACCATCCTAAATATATATATACAGGGTGTTCCATAATTATTGCGACAAAATGATAGGGGTTGTAGAGGGCATCAAAATGAACAATTTTTCCTTATAAACCCCTGTTCGGAAATATGCCGTTTGGGCTGCAGCAAAAAAAAAGATCAGTTTCTTGAAACAGCTTACCTACAGTAATTGCTCAAAGTGTCCTCCACCTTGCTCAATACACAGCTGTGCACGATTGTTCAATGATCGGCGAACTCTGTGGCATACCCCCGGTATGTCCTGAGCATGTGCGGACGCGGCCATCACTCTTCCCAGTAGCTCTTGTTGGTTGGGAACAGGAGTTTCGTACACTAAAGCTTTCAGATAGCTCCAGATAAAATAATCCAGTGGGGTCAGGTCAAGTGACCGCGCAGGCCAAGGCACAGGGCCACCTCGGCCTATCCACCTATTTGGAAATTTGTCGTCCAAATACTGCCGCACTTGTAAAGAAAAGTGGGCTGGACCGCCATGGTGTTGAAACCACATGTTGGCTCTTATATTCAGTGGCACATTTTCTAATAGTTCCGGTAGCACATGCTGTAAGGATCGACCATAAGCATGCCCATCCAAACGTAGTGGAAGCAGATATGGCCCGATGATATGCTCGTCCACAATGCCGCACCAGATGTTAATTGAAAACTGATGTTGGTCTCTATGGATGGCTATGGCATGAGGGTTTTCTTCATCCCAAATGTGACTGTTACGGCTATTAAAATAACCGTCCTTTGTAAAACAGGACTCGTCAGTGAACAAAACGTAGCGACCAAAGTTTGGTTGCCTCAACTCCTGCTGCAGCCACCAACGACAAAAACGTCGACGCGGCAGATAGTCTGCTGGACCCATGGCTTGGACTTTTAAAAGGTGGTACGGGTGTACGATAACAAAAATGTAAACACAGCAGGCTTTTTTTACAAACCGGCGAGACCATGAAATGTGCTAGACGAACATTTTGCAGCTGGTGAATTTTTTGTTTCTCCTATGAGCTCTTAAGGTAAAATTGACTGTAGTGCTCAAACGGCATATTTACGAACAGGGGTTTATAAGGCAAAATTGCATATTTTTATGCCCTCTACAACCCCTATCATTTTGTCGCAATAATTATGGAACACCCTGTATATATATATGATCCGGTGACGGGTCATATAGTGTCATTGATATTTGGGGTCATGGGATGCACGCGCTCAATGATATTGGATATTGTTTATCGGAGACGTTATGTAATATCGAAATGCGTTCCTGTTGGTAATAATATAGAAACGTATTTTTATTTTGTTAGCGGAAGTAATCGGAAAGAATCTCCCTGCCGCAATGCATACTTATAAAAAATCCCTCGTGTTTACACGGCTGGTAACCATCTCATACCATGGTACAATATTCCGTTTGCCCGTTTTTACCCTGCAGACACATGCGGCAGGTGTCCAGTGCCCTGGCTCGATGGAAGCCTCCAAATTTCCAAATATCAAACCTAATTTTCAACCCGCTCCTCCCCCTTACAGGAGAAGAAAGAGAGAGAGCTTTAGTCTTCCGCGACAACTTAGAGTCATGGACTCTACCTTGGGGCCCCTTCAACCTATAGCCTTTATAGTTTGCCAGCATGACAAAGCTATCCTCACAGGGATCCTACATCATGTCGTTCAGTATCCCAGGGAAGATTTTTTGGAAGCATGATATGAAATTTATCCTGGAACACAAGACGTAAGACGAGTTCTGAATCAATGTCTTCATCTCGCGAAAAAGCAGAGAAATAACTGCAATCCCTATCAAAGTATCCAATCTTACCGAAACACTTTTAGAAACGTATGCTTTAATGAACAGATAAACAACACCTTGGACTAGAAATTTGTAAAAATATATATTTTCTTTATCGCAAATACGCATAAATGTAAACTAGAAGTAGCATGATCCTATAGAGACTAGTTATTACACCATATTTTCCTTATCAATTGACCTAATGCAGTGAACAATTGAGTTGAAGTATGATGATTCACCATCATTGAAGTCTTATGGTGTTCGCTCAGAAATAAATACTACGATACACGAAGCAAGTATATGAATTAAGATTTAAAATGAGACGGTATCCAATGCTCATGAGTTTTCAAAATATCAATAAAAAAATTGGTCACAATGACTTGACGGAACTAAGATATCACACCATAACCTTTGCTTATCGCTAACCTAAAGCGGAGCTAATATGTATATGTATAATACTCGATTATCATTAAACTGAATATATTATATATATATTTTATAATAATAATGCTTCATCACTCGAAATATGAGACGTGAGACGTAATGGTAAAATCTCATTTCCCCATTTTGTACTTTGCTAATTTCCATCAAAAGTGCTACTTCATATTTCACTCTACGTGGAAAATTTTTGGACATCCTGGAGAGTTATTTCAAAATGCTCAATAGTAGAATAATACTAGATACAATTAACATCGGTAAGTTTTTGAGCACCTTTAATTGCCTTATATATGCCTCAAAGCGATTCAAAGATAATCTGGAAAGTCGTAGTACTTTTGAGCTAGCCTGAGTGCTGTACTTACCAAGAGGATCTTGTCTTCTTCCTTTATCAAGTATAGTGAAAACCCCTACGATGATGTGTCCTCTTTGTTTCAATTTCTGCATTACATCGACCGCAAAAGGGCTCTGGCCGATGATGGCAATTTTCAGCGGCTGCTCGCATGATAGTGGGTTTTGCTGGTGAAAAATCGCATATTTGAATAACGCGATGGCTAAAGGTAAGCCAAGTTAAATTTTTCAACAAAAATAAGCTTCCCAAACTTCATTTTATATATTAATTTAAATTTCACTAATTTCAGTTAAAATTCCATTGATGAACTTTCTCCTCATTGCTTTCCTCCTTCCTTACTCTATCTTCCCTCTCCACAGTTTCGTCTGGTATCTAGGCCACCAAACTTAACAGACCTACTGATTAAGGTACATGTGCCGAAAAATTTGAAAGTAAGATTTTGTTTCTACAAATTGGTCTCTAAGAATGTGGTACCAGATTTTTAGGGTGATTCGAGGACAAAAATTCACTGTTGATTGAAGGGAGCTTTGGAAGGAAAAGTTAATTATGTCCTCGATTAGCATAACCAATAAAACAAATAAAATATAGCTCAATACACAAACGCAATATTATAATTGGATAAAAAACAGTTTTTCTTCTTTAGTTTGTTATTTTTCATTATAACATTACATTGCAGCGTTGGATATTCATCTTCAATCCACGAGTGTTTCTGAGCTTCTTTCTACCTAAATTGGACAACAGATGAATGGACATAGAACTAGCATAGATTGCGCCACAGCCCGTAAAACGATGAAATTTCTGCATTTCCTGCTCGTGCATTCTCTCGTTGCAATTATCACAGTTACACTCCTAGATCATGTGTTCTAACACCATATGATTTCTTTTATGTATTAAAAAGAGATCCAAGGCTGCTTCAACGAAATGCATCCACATTTATGCAAAATAGTTCTTGAAATTTTCTACCAAAAAGGAAAACTGTTTCCTATTTAATTCAAATATTGCTTGAATTTTGGGACATCCTATATAAAATGGTATTTTTTAATTTTGATAGAAAGTGGAGACGACTATTTCAGAGCGTGATATTTTATGAGTATCTCATTTATTTTTAGTGGCTTGAAGATGGAAAAATCTCTTAAATCTTCTTTTCCGTGGATTCACCGAATTTCAGACAACGTTTAAATATGCTCTCAAACTGAAAAGCAACATTATATTTCTTAACAGTATGAAAAAATATTACTGTATTATATGGAATATCCTGAACAAAAAGTTTGAACAACAAGTTCAAAAAATTGGATCTTCTTTCAGAGGATTACAACTACAAGTCTTTTTTTTCAAAATTATTGTAAAAATCAGAATTCGCTGGATATATAGTTATTGGTATCCTTTTTGATGATGCAAAAACGTCTTTAATCGAATATTAACTTACATTTGGTGGCATCTTCGGAAGAATCACTAGTTTCACATAGAAACAGAAATCGTTTGGACGAGAGCTTTATTTTGGTGCAGCATGAACTGTTGTCAAATGTTGTTTTCTTGGTAATTTATATGATAGATTATCTCAGCGGCTGAGCCGCGTCCCGTCCGTAATTAGTTCCTTTCTCTTTTCATGTATACTGTGTGGCCATCTCAACATTTTAAAACCGATTTCAATATAATTTAGTTATCATATGAGTGATAGTTAAAAGAACCTTGCTACTAAAAACTCGTGTTCATGTTTGTTCGCATTTTTGATATAATTGTTTTTACTACTGTTACTTATTCGATCGAAAATTCTAGAAAAATTCTGTCTAAAATATTATGCAGCGACAAGGATCGGGGTCCATAAGCCCGATTTCGGCACTGAAAATATTTCAGAGTTCAAGATGATTTTACTATTTTCAAAAACTTGACTTTAGCTTACAGTTTTTATATGAGTGCATGATCGCACTACATCCTACTTCAAATCTATAATGAAGGTTACTGAGACACAAAACATACCTGTATAAAAATGAAAGTTATGCGTCAATGCGTTTACAATAAAAAAGGAAGCTGAAACAAATGAACACAAGACGATACCACAACTTTTGATTTTATTGAGCTTGCACTTGCGGAACACTTTCATTTGTAGATACGGTATGTTTTATTATAGGCTTCATCTGTTGCGAAAATCATACGCTTATATAAAAATAGTGAGTTAGACATTCGAAAATAGGTAAGCTTTTACCAAAACAGCAAAGAGTGCCAACTTTGGACTTTTAAAGAACAATTAAGTACAAAAAATACAAAATCTTGATGAAAGCTTAAAATACACCTGTTCTGGAATATTTGATTGCAAAAAAATTCATAAACGCGCTCAACTTGAAATTTGCGTTCTAGACTCTCATTCTTTGAGAATGAGAAGTATGTGGTCTGTATGTCAAATCTCGATGGATAATTCAGTTAAATTTCCGTATTCTGTATTTGGAAGTATGATTATTCAGGTCTCCTCAAGGATGGGTCATCAGCCACCCAAAACCCTTAGAAAGATGAGACGACCTAGCGGAGTCTTCATTATACTAACATACAAAGAAAGTGCTTAACTATCCCATCTCACAGTTGTCCAGAACATCGAAGAGTTGTCAAAAGATGTAATCCAGTACAGCAGGGCTTTGTGAGTTGTGAGACTCATTTCACATAGCTGTCACGGCTCCAAAGAATATAGAGAGACACTAGACCTAGTACTCTTCCTTTTTGCCCAGTCGACCAGCTGTGTCGTTACCATTCAATAGTGAGTGACTCTTCACCCATACTACATGCAAATGGCTGCTGGCAGAAGGACTCTCAAGTTGTCGTGATTTAGTGAAGTTCCCAAAAGTAGACCCCCATTTTCTTAATAATTTGAGAAATATGAACAAATGGCGTCAAGTAGGTTGACTCTACACTTCCCACGCAACGCCCTTATGTTATGCACAAACTAGACCCTCTGGAAAGCAGTTCAGTCAAACAGGCCATACAATTAGTACACAGACATTATTTCCCTACCCTACAGAGATACTATACTAGAACATTCATCGCAGTAGGGGCACTGCGCCAGCAGCAGAGAAAGCACTGTGTTAACTACGTCTAATATGTGTATAGAGTAGAATTACCAATGTTGGGAGCGTATAAATGTACCAACATCCAGAAATTGAGATAAACCCACCTTGCACTCTTACAACCTCCATCCCAATATTTTTCCGTATAATTTTTTTTTCAAAACACGAAGTTTGGGCGATTTTCGCTTTTTACGTTTTAGGCCTTATTCTCTACCGCCACTGAACTGATTTTCAAAAACTTAAAAGCTTTTGCATCCTTGGCATAGTAATAACCTTATGTGAAAATTTCATTGGAATCTCAACTTCTCAAGTTATATAGTAGAATACCAAAATTGATGACAGTAGTGAAACTCATCGTACGCCACTGCTATTACGCGGAGGCCTTCGAAAATGCAGCGCTTCTTTGTGAAAGGTCGGTAAACGTCGCTGTAATCAAAAGGTACAGCGTCAAAGCAGTGGCGCACGATGACTTCTGCTACTGTCATCAATTCTTTTATTTGACTATAGGCAGTTATAAGATTAGCGGACAGACCGACAGACGACAAAACAGACCGACATATACAGACAGACCAACGGAGGTGAGTAACATGGTTTTTCATGATGTACATGTTATATAACATCCAAAAAACATAATATCTCATTTTCGAAAGTTTTCGCTATTACAATACGTCAGTAAATGTGAGAAGTTAAGCAGCTAAGAGTATGTTTCAAAAGCATGCAACGTTTAGTTTAGTAGTGTTAAGCGTAATTTCCACAAACGTTGCATAACCCTGATTTGAAAAATGAGTACTAAAACTTTACTCCTAATGCAAATCGTGAATAATCAATTCATATTTTATTCTTAAGCAGGGATACAGAAATTACTTTATTTATCCAATAAATTCTTTAACATTCAAAGCAATTAGGATCTCTATGTAAAAAAATACTTACAAATGTCTAGGAGTAACAGTCAAACATGAAGACATATTTATTGTGGACAAAAGAAACAAATAACATGTCAAGCGAGGTGTGCGATCACTCGACTATGGCGTGTAGGTATCTAGGTTACTATTTACACTTGGTAATTATGGTGTCTTAGAGAATGCAGAGCAAGTGAGACCAGGGGTCCGCTTTGGGGGATGGTTCCGGTATGAAAGAGGCAAGTCTGCAAAACGGGAGTATTTTCTGTCTACTATCTGCGCAGATCCTAAATTGCTTGTCTTTTCATGGAGATAGCACTGTATGACTACATCAAACTCAACTAGCCTGCACTTTGCTCCCGCTATTGCAAGTACTTCTGCCATATTATTTCCATGTACGTATATTCATCTCCCAGAGCGTTCTGGTATCAAAAGAGAAGATCACGAGGAAACTCTCGAAAAAGTCGAAACTTTCCAGGGTTTTACCATTTGTTCACATCAATTATGGCATTATCCAACCCACAAAAATTTAAATACTCAATGTATGAAACTGAACCGTACACATTTTAAACTTCTGAATTGCCACCCTGTATGTCTAGCCATACAGATAAAGAAGTGCGCAAGACTTGACATATGTTCATTTTAGATTAAGCAACAGGTCAACATAAAAACATCGCTGAACTGGATATATCCAGTTATATGAAACTCATTAAATTTTCTAAATAAAAATATTTCCGATATCGGATAACTGCTAGCTACTGCTATATGCATAATGTATGCATTGTGGAGATCTGCTTTTGTGCCACTGGTCACGCATGACCTGATGACCGCAATCAGATTTTTCAGTTGTCGACTCGATAACTAGATATTATTTTAAGCTATCCTTGGATAAACAAGTAAAATACCGTTGATTGGGGGATCCCGGGGGTGCATGCGTTTCGTATGCGACGAGGCAGGAGTGGAAATCTTAAGGTCGGAAGATATCGCGATTACAACAAGTTTTTCATATATTAAATCGCCTATAACTTAAAAACAGATAATTCAGAAAGTAAGGAAAAGAATACCTGAAACTGGAAAGGCCACTTGATCATGTGTACAAAAATTGTACTTTATTTCTGTTAGTAAAACAATATTGCACTTCAAAGTTCTTCCCATTCCGTCACGTCAACTGCGACTCCCCTATACGTACAGTGTTTCATTTGGAGCGAGAAATATTCTAACCATGGTTTTGGGTGACTAAGCTCCTTATGCTCGAGTATTTCACTTGATCGCCATAATTGGTCCACTTCACAGATAATGCACCAACAGCGGCAACATTCCAATATGAAGCTCCTCGCGAAAATTACAAATAAAGCTAAGGAGATCGTAGCGCGTCACTGGCACTGCGTCTGTCGCATACTCTCGACCATTCACGAATGAAGAACCGAGCCCTGCCGACTCCGTGATTCAAGTAAACAATTTAACTGTTTTTACTAAAACGAATAATTACGTAAATGCACATTTTCTACATAAACTAAGTCACCTAAACCAAACAGTTCGATAAAATAAGCTCCAGAAAATTCAGTTTAATTAAACCGATTGATTTGGTTACTTAGAGTAATTAAAATTAGAGGTAATGAAAGTTTCCAGAAAAACTGTTCAATTAACCAAGTTTCATTAGAGTTCCTATAGTGAAACTCGTTTGAATAATTGTTGTTGAAAAACAAACTGTCCACTTTTTCCTAGAAGTTTCTTCTAAAACTACAAACCGTTTTCTAAAGTTTCAGTGTGCACCCAGGTAGATAATGCGTTGAGTGTGAAAGGCAGATGAGCCGCGAAAGCAGTATAGTCCAGATAGTATCTTCACATCTGATCGGAAAAATATTCTGATTGGATTTTTGGCATAATCATATTCAAAATGGATTCTATTTATCGATTCTGCATGTTGCTAGGCCCAAAATTGCGTCAAAAATTGTTCAGCCATCATTTTAAACAAATCCCAAAAATGGTTTTTTGCTCCCATCAAGGTGTTTTAGGACCTGCTGAACTTCTCTCTAAAGTTTTTGAGTTAAGAGAAATTTAATGTCTAAAAAACTCTAAAAACGGGTATTTTCGAAGCTTAAAAACTCGGTTAAAAATCGTAATTTTTGAAGTGGCCAAGTATCTAAGTATATTTTAAAACCTTCTACAAGACCTTTTTTGGTAGTCTAAAATTGTCGCTTTTGTATCTCGCGCCTTAAGGATGCTCGTAGGGTTATTGTTTGGCTTCAATACGTTGAGAAAGGCCCCTTATCAAAGTTTGTCAGAGGGCCCTTTACCCGATTGCCGCGAAGCCCAAAAGGACAAACAAAAACGTTCGCATTGACAGTAAGGGCGTAAGAGCAACCAAATTGAGAAAATTCCCTATTACTCTGAAATCCATGGAAGGCCCAGAAACAGGTCATCTTAGATGCAAATATAACCTAATATTGCGTAAAAATGTCACCATAGGTGTGACAGCTCCTTAATTTTTAAATCGGAATTGAGGGCTTACGATGCATGATTTGATAGTTACCTATTTTTATTGTCGATTTGAGATAATTACTGTTTTCAATTACATATAAGAGCCTTTAAAAAAATAGTAAATACTTATAACAAAGTTGTTAACACTATCGCTGTGCATACTCG